TATCATATAACATAAATATTTATATTATATAACAAAATATATTTTATATTTGTATTCATTAAGACATATTTATATTTTCAACTTGTCATACCTCAGGCTGTCTAGTAATGGTCCCTACAACACCTGAAAAGATTATCTGTAAAGACAAGCAGAGTCTCAGCTTGTCATGGTGCAGGTCCAAAGGGATGGGAAGAAGCACACTATGGGCCTGGGTGATAAAAGAACCTGGATAATATCAGAGTCTTTATGACCCTTCCACTAATAAGATCATTTGGCTTGAGTCCAAGATGGACACAGAGTCTATAATACTTTATATTTGTAAGTGCTTGACAAAGTACCTTCACATAAATGATGCCTTTTTCAGATAACCAGGACACAACAGTGGTTTAAGTAATTTATCGGTAAAATGGCAAAGCCTAGAATAGAATTCTTGTCTGCAAACTAAATCCAATGCCAAGTGTTACCATGGCAAAGCCACCCTCAGGAGTATCTTCTGCAGTCTTTGTATCTAGAACTCATTTATAAATTTTAAAAAGGAATGACTAAATGGAAGCATAAAAATCTAATCCAAAGCTTCGCAAGTGCTTGTTCAATTCAGGTATGGCAACAAAAGGACATGGTTGAACATGGATGCCTGCTTTAGATTTCCACGGTTCAATATGGCAGTCGAGAGCCTCATGACTATTTAAATGCAAATTGATTCAAGTAAATAAACTAAAAGAAAAAAATTTCCTTTGTTGCACTAGCCACATTTTAAATGCCCAACAGTCACCTGTGGCTGGTGGTGGCTATATGGGACAGTATTGATATAGAAAGTTTCTAACATCAGAGATCTACTGACAGCTATGCTCTAGGACAGCGTTCGCCAACCTTTCGCACCTCACGGAGCACCAGTGGTCTGAGGACCATTGGCTGCTGACTGCTGCTCTAGGATGTGGATGAATGAAGCAATTTCATTGTTGCAGGGGAATAGAAAGAACTTTGGCTTTGAAGCTCAACAGACCTAGATTTGAATTCTGCCTCTATCACTTACAAACTCTGTGACTTGAACAAGTTTCTTAACTTTTCTTGGACTTGTTTCCTCATCTGTAAGTCAGTAATCAGAAATAAGGTGCTTGGAATATCATTTTTGCTTAGTAACTACAGATTCTGCAGTCTTCCTAACCCTCAATGCAGCCCCACTGCAGTCCTGTGGTTACCAAAAGGCCCTTGCACAGTATATAAAAACATACTGCATGATCTCACTCATTTATGGATAATAAAGACCATTATAAACTGATGAACAAAATAGACACAGAGGCAGAGCAGCATTGAACAGACTGTCAAACTACAGCAGGAAGCCCGGGGAGGGTTGGGGAAGGGGTGGTAAGAGATCAACCAAAGGACTTGTATGCATGCATATAAGCATAACCAATGGACACAAGACACTGGGGAATAGGGGAGGCCAGGGGAATGTCAAGGGGGGAAGAAAAAAGAGACATATGTAATACTCTTTGTAATACTTTAAGCAATAAAAACAAACAAACAAACAAACAAAAAAACCAAACTGCTTCTGAAAGATTCAAGACAGTCACCAAACCCAAGTCCTTGAATAGGGTTAGCATTTTCTTTGTGAGATTTTTCCCTTTTTTCTGGGGGGTATGATGGTGGTGGTGAGCATTTTATATAAATAAAGAAAAATAAAATAATTTGGAATTAGAAAAAATTATAGTTCAATTTTCTATTATATTAAATCTAAAAATTGATTTGAGTGAAAGAAGCTGGATCTGAAGGTGCAACTTGAGTAAAATGAGTCAGGTGTCTTGGTGGTATTTCCCACAGGAAAATAACAGAAGTGCAGCTACAGAATCAGGTGTAATTACCTATACATACAATCAGACACTAATTAACTTTTTATTTAAAGAACAAATCCCTGAACAACTCAACAGTTTGCTGACCTACTGTTAAGATGAGACACACGATATAGACTACTCAAGAGAGGCCTTAACAGTCTCAGATCACTTTATGCTATCCTGTCACTTCTCCTCGTTACAGCTATTTCTTTAAATATTCCCCCAAGCTCCTTTTCTAGACTTTCTAATATGCCCACAGTGTTGTACTTGACCTTCCCAGGCCTTTCTCTGGTCTGAAAACAAGCTGACGTGTGCTTGAATTTCTAATTAGCAATTTCAGAAACTCTAAGACTGTTAGGAGATGATTCAGAGCCCAATTAAATGGGAAATGAAATGATCTGGTTAAGTGAGTTTTTTGTTTAACTAGGACAGTGGTTCTCAACCTTGGCTGCACATTAGAATCACCTGGGAATCTTTTTAAAATCCTGATTTCTGGGCCTCATCCTCCGGAAATTCTGTTTCTTTGTTATGGGGTGGGGCCACAACGTTAGTAACAAAGAAACAGAATTTCCGGAGGATGAGGCCCAGAAATCAGGATTTTATAAAGATTCCCAGGTGCCCTAACTGGTTTGGCTCAGTGGATAGAGCATTAGCCTGCAGACTAAAGGGTCCCAGGTTCGATTCCGGTCAAGGACATGTACCTTGGTTGCTGGCACATTCCCAGTAAGGAGTGTGCAGGAGGCAGCTGATCGATGTTTCTCTCTCATTGATGTTTCTAACTCTCTATCCCTCTCCCTCCCTCTATTTGTAAAAAATCAATAAAATATATTTAAAAAAAAAAAAGATTCCCAGGTGATTCTAATGTGCAGCCAAGGTTGAGAACCACTGAACTAGGAAAACCTTTGTTTCAATCTCTTTAGCTGAAAATCTCTAAAACAAAATGCATTAGTGCAGTTTTCTGCTCAAGAATACTCTAGTAAACACAACTGATGATTTAAGGTCTTAACATTACAACAAATTAACCTATGATGCTGATACTATGCTGGGTTACAGAATATTGACGTTTTATACTGACCCCAGATTACACTTACTTGCTACTTTCACAAAATAAAATCTAACATTAGCTTGCTTTCTTATAATTTGCCTTCCTTTCTTCCACACATGGATATAGAAATATTTCCAGATAACTGAAGCTCTGATTAGTTACTTTTGGTTAATCATGGTTCCATTTTATGTGTGTTAAGGTGCATTTTCAACTTTAAAAGAAACTTTACTTGTGAAAGAAATATAATACCATTCACTTTAGGTTTATACTGAATGGTAACTGAGTCAATGGGCCTCTGATAATTTTCCCTACTGATTATTTTAATGATCAAACTGTTCTTAGAAGCAATAGCTAAATTAAGTTTTCAGGTAGTAAAGAGCAGAATTAAACCAATTTCTCTTTTTTAAAATTGGATGTGTTCCTTTGCAGAATTTCCCCTTTAACAGAATTTTCAGCACAAAGAAAACAGCCATCTGAAATAACTCTACTGTTAACATTCGTTTAAATAAATCCATCAGAACTATTAGGTATTAAAAGGCATGTCTAGTATGTCCATAGAAATTAAAAATCTCAGAGGTAATTCAATTACCTAGACAAATAGTTTATTAAAAAGAGAGATTCCATTTTACTTAGATGGAATCTAAGTGAGTTAGGGAGAAGAATTTGGGGCTGTTAGCTTCAAAATAGACCTTGACATTTCTCATTCAGGAAATTAAAAGATGCATAATTTCTAGTAGCTTTTTATATTTTGTTCTGAAGACATCCCCCCAGTTCTAGTTACCTCCGAGTCAAGTGAAATTCAACACAGTAACTTTTACTTTTTAAGTCAGAAGCAACGTTTGTCTCCAGCAATTTCCTTAGATGATAATTACAGCATAACCTTCTGTCCTCACTCATATGTTCATTACCCACATTGAAATACAGAAACCAAGCACTGCATACTTTTTAGTACACTACATCTTGAATGGAACATTCTAGCTTTGCCGACTATCTCCAACCACTATTAAGAATCTGTAAAATGCCTGAAAGGACCCTGGACTATGAAGCCAAAAAAAAAAAGGGTTATTATCCCCACTCTCCAACTGAGTACCTACCACTCAACTCTGAGTCTCAGTAACTGCCTGCCTCCCCTACACAGGATATTGTATCATCAACATTAACGTATAGTACCTCTTGGCCCAGCGTACCCAGCCGACACTCAACTAAACAAACAGATTGAAAAAATACATCGATCAGGGCAAAGATAGTACTTTCTTTGTGGACAGAAATAGCAATCTGTCCCCATCCTGTGTCTCTCAAACTAAGTCCTATTGCTCAGGGGGCATGAGCGGCCAGTAATTCAGTGTCACATGAAAAACAAAGGGTGGGCCCTGACCGGTTTGGCTCAGTGGATAGAGTGTCCGCCTGCTGACTGAAGGGTCCCAGGTTGGATTCCGGTCAAGGGCATGTACCTTGGTTGCGGGCACATACCCACTGGGGAGTGTTCAGGAGGGAGCTGATCGATGTTTCTCTCTCACTGATGTTTCTAACTTTATCCCTCTCCCTTCCTCTCTGTAAAAAATAAAAAAAATATACATATATAAAATGTCTTACTCTAGAAAGTTCTCCCTTAAAAAAAAAAAAAAAAAAAAAAAGGGTGAAACTTACCTTCAAACAATGGGAATATAATGTAATGCTACTATATTAAATAGTATGGTTAATTAAAATAACATAAGTTATTGTATACAAAAGTATTTTAATTTTAGAAGCCCAATTTAAAAGATTTTTTCTTACTGAGACTGATTCATAACTATAAAAGAGTATAGACCAAACTTTTTTACAACTTAAAACTCCAAAAATAATGTGCTAATAGAAACTAAAGTCACCCAACTTGAATTGTAAATATATGAACTGCAATAAAACAGACATACTCGCCTGACCAGTGTGGCTCGGTGGTTGAGCATCAACCATGAACCAGGAAGTCACGGCACATGCCCGGGTTGTGGGGTTCGATCCCCAGTAGAGGGTGTGCAGGAAGCAGCCGATCAATGATTCTCATCACTGATGTTTCTCTCTCTCCCTCTCCCTTCCTCTCTGAAATCAATAAAAATATTTTTAAAAAAACCACAAAGAGATATACTCACAGCTTGCATTTCTATACAGAAGAAATGGTTCATGGAGCTGAAATTCCAAATCTTTATTCACTGGTTCAACAAGATTGTGCATATTCAATCGATTCACAATGGTAAAACCATGGTAAGGTGAAGCTGACCTTAGATTTAATAGAAGAAAAATAATAATCTATAGTCACTGTCAGTTTGCAGAAATGTTATCTACTTATTTCAATTTCTAAGAATGAACATATTATCGCATTACACAATATTAGCATTTACAATAGTAAACAAAAAAATTTAAGTCAGATCATAACCCTCTTCCTCTCAGAAGCTTCCAAGGGCTCAGTCCCCCAGAGTAAAGGCCAAAGTCCTTATTATTAAGGCCACAAGGCCTTAGGAGATATGTCTGTCCCCCCTCACCCCCTTCATCTCCTTTGCCTTTTGCTCTTCCTGCTGCAGCCACACCGAGCCTCTTGCCACTCTCCCTAAATACCTCTCTCTGCCTGGATCACTTGACTGACAACACAATGATTTTTCTTGTACCAAACAGGTCTTTCCATAGTTCTCCCGAGTTAGATAGAAAATGCCTCAAATCTAACAGTAAGAAATGTCTTCAGTTCCCATTCCAGGGTGATTCAGTACATGGGATCAATGGTTCTCTCTCATCATTGATGTTTCTGTCTCTCTTTCCCTCTCCCTTCCTCTCTAAAATCAATGAAAATATATTTAAATAACATACCCATTACAAAAGACATTGTACACAATCCAGAACTTTTAGGGAGAGAGTGGGAAAGGGGACAGAACCAGAGTCACAGAAGATAATCTCTCATTTAGTAACCACAGAGCAGCAGGACTCATCTTCAACTATACGATTTTATGGAGCTAAGGACATGTTTATATTTATTTCAACTATGTATCTTTTTTAATACAGGGGTGGGGGTGGGTGGGGAGGAAGGCATTTGTTTTAAGACTCGTTCATTATTAAAAAATGTTTTCTGTTTAAGACTTTGCCAGGATCCTAAATTAGTCCTAGTTCTGTGTGTTCTGAATCACAGGAAGGCTCAAAGACGAGACGTAACTTGAGACTCTCACAGCTAGAGATGAATGAATACTTGAAGGGTCAAGCAGGAAGGTTCCAAAGACAAATGAACAACAGGGTTGAACCACTTCACGTGACATTGTTTACCATGACATTTAAAAATATGTACCTTTTTTTAAAAACTTACCTTCGATATACAAATAAGGTCCCTTCTATATCAGTCTTCTCCTATAAGAGACAATTAAACAGTTAGGTTTACCCCCATAATGCAATCCCAAATATTCCAAAGGAGAAGAAATACTTCGTGTTTAAGATAATTTTTTAAAATTAATCACTTTTGAACAGGTCAAGCTAACTCTCTCACTCCACCAGCTACTTTTAGCAATTTCTTTTGCATCCTTTCTGTGCTACTGATGCATATTAATGTATATGCGATGTTCAACTCAGCAACATGCCTATATCTGCAGCATTTTTTCTTCTTTTAAAAAAATATGTATCATCTTGATTGCCTTAGCTTAAATATCACCATGGAATGTTTACTTCTTGACTTTCAAATGTTATTACAAGTCTTTAATATTTGTCTGCAATCCGTATTTCACAAGTTTATAATTAGGCCAAGAAAGGAAAAACCATTCAGAACAATTACAAACTAAGCCAATGTTTCTAAAACAGTTACACTTTAAAAAAAAATCTATAATTTTGTTCTTTGTGGCTTCCCATATGTCCTCCTCTTCAAGGAGGTGAATTAAAGATCTAAAGCAAGATAATCTTGACAACTGCCTTCATCTGAATTAACTTTAATAATACCAAACGCTTTTCACAAAATTACTGGTTACATATAACTTATACCTGTATTAGATCGTAAAGAAAGTGCGATGATGATAATCTTTCATTGTTTTGTTAGCATAAGGATGTTTCCTACTGAAGTGTGAACATCAGTCATTTATAAATCCAATTCACCAAACATTTACGGATGATTGTTCTAAGTGTAAATAAAACCTATGTGGTTGAATGAGTTAATGAAGAAGGACCAATTACCAGACAACAGGAAATTATGTAATTAAAGCAATGAAGGAAGCTTCAAACAGGGACCAAGTCAGTGAACAGACTGAACGTAACTTTTTCGGACCCCCTCCCGTGCAAACAAACAAAAAAACCCCCAAAAGTATTGAGTCTGATGGGAACATTCAGGGATGGCATCACGAGCAGCACAGCTGGCACGAGACACCTTTACGGCCCCTCTTCTCCAAAGGCTTCAAGGGAACTTAATTAACATGGAAGCCCTTTAAAGTGCCTTGAAGTCTTTCCCCAAACTCTGGAAACTGAGTGTAGTTGGGTAAAAGCGGGGCTTACCCACACCTCTCTTCCAAGCATGGAAACTAACTGGATTTTAATCTTTAGATCCAAATGACCTCTGCGAAGGGGGCCCTTATTGATGTCTGTTGCAGGGGGGAGGAAGAGCGCTGGCTTCGTAGATTTTGTGTGTGTAATTTACCGATAATCCTCAATCTGGCAGGTATCTTTCTGACCTCCCCGGTCTCATATCCCTAACACATGAGCAAAGAAGGCAGATCACCCATCTCCCCGGACCCGACCCCAAGGCACTGATCCTCTTCCAACCCACCCCTCGGTCGGCTTTCCCCCCGGATGTCTGGGGCCTATTTCTTCGGCTCCTCTTTCCCAATCCCGAGGCCCCGACACCCCTCGGGCGCCGGTCAGGTTCTCCAGTCCTTGGCCTCGTCTCTGCCGCCCTGGCCTCCGGCATCACCTCCCACCCAGGGCGGTCCGCGCGGCCCCTTTAAGAGGCGGTGGCCGGGCGGTAGACGCCAGTGGCCTGCGGGCACTCACCCACTGGTTGGCCTTGGGGCAGAAGGTGTACAGAGCCACCTGGCCCGTGAGGTCTGCGATGCTGGTGATGTAGGGGTCGTGCTGCTTCAGAGCCGCTAAGCTCATCTCCTGCCCAGCTCGACTCAGCGACTCCATCTTGAATTCTCGAGCCGAGCCCCTCTGGAGGGGGCGGAGTCGCGGACAGGAAGGTGCCTTCGCAGCAAAGTTCCCCCAGCAGAGTCTGCGCCCTCGACTTCCGCCTCTCCGCTGGGCCTCACGGCTGGGCGGTACGGTAGCTATCATGCTCCGCTGCGCCCACACCCCGGAAACCGGGTTCCGGCGTCGTTAGGTCCCAGGTGCGGGTGGGCGCACACGGCCCCGCGGGGGAGCTGGCAGGCAGGGGCCTCAGGCACTTCCCTCCGGCCGGCTGCACCGCCCCGACGCCCGGACCCAGGCTGCCCGCGAGCTCCCTCCGAGCTCCTGCCCGACGGGGTTGGACACTGACGCGGGACCTGCTGCGGCGAGGGCACGGGCAGCGCCCGGGCGATAGAACGAAGCTCGCCGTGGCAATCTCCCGCGCCGTTTAGAAAGCACAGCCAGCAGTTTGGTATTTTTCTTTTTTGTTTTGATTTATACACCTTTATTTAGGGGGCTCCAGTTTCACTCCTCGTAGATGTTATGAGTTTCTCATGCTTCTTCGCTCACTCACCTAGTGCTGAAGGGTCCCCCAGTGTCGCCCTGAGCGGCCACCTAGTGCTGAAGGGTCCCCCAGTGTCGCCCTGAGCGGCCACCCTCCTCGCGACGGGACTTGTTGACTAGCCCCGGAACTTGCGCGGGGGCGTCGCCAGTTTCGTTTACTCCTCCCGACAGGAGAGCTCCCGAGCTTTCACACTCCCCGAGCACCAAACTCATGCCAGCGAAACCTCACGATTCCACCTGACGAAGCTCGCTTGCTCAGTATTGTCCCAATTTCAGGCAGACTACAGTAAACAGCTCCCAAACGTCCTGTGCAAAAGGGCCGAATCCCACTGTTCCATTCATGTTTCTCTCTGGATGGACCCACCAACAGAAGCTTGGGGTCCCCGCTGCTCGCCCTCAGGCCCCGGGGCGGGGGTGCGGGGTCGGGGGAGGGCAGGGCACTGCGGGCGCCGGCGCAGCGCACAGGCTACAGGATTGGGTATTTTTCTGAAGGAAATTTTTGTGCTGCGCATTGTTTGAAACTTTAAAAAGTTTGCTCTTTTTTTTTTTTTTTTTTTTTTTAAGCAAACATCTGTTGAGCTTTTTAAAGAGCCAGGTGCTAGAGTAAAGGCGTGGAGACTATAGGGAGCTCTGTGCACACACCCTCCCTCCCTCCCCGTTCCACTTAAAAAACATTTTCTCATATTGAAAAGATGCCCCAATGTTAATGAAAGAAACATTCAAATCTATAGAGAACTTGTGTGAGCTTATTTGAGCCACACTGACGAATGCTGGGAAGCAAAGCTCAGGGGATTAACATAGTACATGCTCCAGAGACTGGCAGTTTTGCACCCCGTTTTATCCATTACAATAAAAGAAGAGGTACGTGGGGTACAGGAGATTCATTGATGACAGATTAGGGAGGGTGGAGAGAGCGAAGCAGGAGGGAAGGGGAGACCTCTGAGTGGATAAAAGGTAAAATGGTAGACACATACTTGCCTGCGTCGGGGGTACGGGAGAGTTAACAGTCAACAATTAACAGCAGTAATGGGGCTGCGTGGTCTCTGCCTGGTGCCCTGTTTGTGCTCCCTGGGGTGTTCCCCTGCCATTCCAGAGCAGTTAGAGCGGCTGCAAAAGCAGTAAGTAGACAGGCATCGTTCCGTAAGGACTGCCCTTTGTCAGGGAAGAGCCTAGCCTAGGACGTGCCTACCGGCCATAAACTGCTTTCAGTTAAAAAAGCCTTAATTTCAGACCATCCGCCAGGTCTCTCTTGAGTTTGCAAGGCTGCCCTGCAGGCCTTACCTGAGTTTGTCCGGTTTGGTATGTGGCCCCTTTTTTGTCCACACGTCCCCCTTTTGGTCATAAGTCAATCCAAAGGGTGCCTTGATGACCAACCTTCTCGTTGGAGAAGGAGGTCCCACGGTGCTAGAAAGGCTCATTCCTAGGATGTCTCAGTGTCAGCATTTGTCTTGCTGAACAGGGTGGACCACTGGGGATGGGGCAAGACCATAACCTTAGGTGGCATTCAAGGTCGAATTAGTATTATTCAAAATAAAATGCAGGTGAATGGGAGGCAGTCAGATCCTCTATAACCTTATTAAAAATATTCTGGATCATTTATAATTTTTGAGCTACAATGATCCAAGTCTTTTTGCTGCTTGTCTTAGTAGGTATTCTGCATCTAGTGTGACATTTACATTCCAGGAACAAAGGCAACAGTATTAAACCAATTAACACCAATTAGGAACAGAATATGTCTACTACTAGGCAAGGAAGGGTCTGGGGCAGGGGTGGGCAAACTTTTTGACTCGAGGGCCACAATGGGTTCTTAAACTGGACCGGAGGGCCGGAACAAAAGCATGGATGGAGTGTTTGTGTGAACTAATATAAATTCAAAGTAAACATCATTACATAAAAGGGTATGGTCTTTTTTTTTTTTTAGTTTTATTCATTTCAAACGGGCCGTAGTTTGCCCACGGCTGGTCTGGGGGGAATAAGCATCCCAGGTGTGGACGAAAGGGGCCACATGCTGACCTGACAAGCTCTGGAGAGGCCTGCATGGCAGTTTTGCAGACCTAAAGTAACCACAAAGGATGGTCTGAAATTAAACCTTAACTAAAAGCAGTTATGGTGGGCAGTTACGTCCTAAGCAAGCTGTGGGCAAGTTTGAAATGAATAAAACTAAAAAAAAAAAAAGACCGTACCCTTTTATGTAATGATGTTTACTTTGAATTTATATTAGTTCACACAAACACTCCATCCATGCTTTTGTTCTGGCCCTCCGGTCCAGTTTAAGAACCCATTGTGGCCCTCGAGTCAAAAAGTTTGCCCACCCCTGTCTAAGCCGATATCTTCACTGATAAGGTCAACCTGTACAGTAACTGAGCCTATCTGTCTTTTTGCATCTATGATAACATACCCTGGAAATGTCTGGGTAACTTGTGATTTCCCTGTATCTGGAGCCCCTGGGGCACGGCCAGGTGTGCTGGGCCCAGGATAGATGCAGCAGATTCTTTCATTTGTCATGTTAATTGTTCCTGCACCCACCTAAGTATGTGTCCATCATTTTACTTTTTATCCTATCACCAAGGTTTCCCCACTTCGCTTAATCCCACCTCCTTAAATCTGTCACCAATGAATTTCATGTATAAATACGGATGTAACCCTTCCATTCTCTGGAGCACTATCTCAATTCGTTGAGGTTTTGCTTCCCGGCATATGTCGACAGTTTGGCTCAAATAAACTCACAAAAATTCTTTACAGGTTTCAATGGTATTTTTACGTTAACACAGGCAACGGAAAAACACTTTACCTGTGTTATCTTAATTTTTATTAAGTTAATTATATGCTTTCTTTTTTTATCCACTGTCACTTATGATATGTTTGGCCAGTTGAATTAAGGCTCTCTACTATTTCATTCAGAATATCATTGTCACAAAAAAAAAAAAGAATATCATTGTCCAAAAAAAAAGAAAAAAAGAATATCATTGTCTAGTAGGTGGGAAAGATGAGCAGGGACCCAAGTTAAATTTTTCATATCTAATAAGGGAGGGTGTCTGGGAGACATATTGTTCCCACTAGGAAACTATAAGGAGGATAACAACATAAAAATCATTTTATGTACATTCAATCAATAACAACTAGGTGATATAAGAACAAGGTTTGAGCAGCAATTTGTGAGCATACAGGCCTTGTTGACATCCTGGGATAGCTGTCTGTCTCCAGGTCGGCAGCTTCTCATCCTTGAAAAGTCTTTGATCTCCACTGTAGATGGAGGCGACATAGGGGCAGATGTCCATTTGCAGTTAGGCACCGGATAAGGTAAGGTCCCTTTAAACACGGTTGGAGAGGGTCGTTAATTAATGTCTTTCCCGATGGACAAAAAACTCCTGGTTGTAAGTTGTGGTCTTTGGCGTCTTCGTCTCCTGGGAGTGCTGTGAAATGAATGTCACTAATTTATCAGTCCCTATAATTCTCCATAATTTATGTCTTAGCCAGAACATTCTTTACCCCTTCTTCATTTAAGGTTCTGTTCACTCAAGTGTTTATTTGCTTTCTTCTTTGCAATTTCTGGAGCAAATTAACCCCTGGCTGTCATATGACCCTCAGTATTCTAGCCATACATAAATATCCTAGCTCTGTTAAGTCTAAAAATCATGGGGATTTAGCCCATGTTGTCTAGCTGTTCCCATTTTAGACAGCCTCATAATTAATAAATTCTAGAAAATGAGATTTCTGGTTATTCTTTAAATACTTCCCTTCAATTGTATGGTCTCCTCCACTGTCTGCTTCCTGTTGGGTAATTTGAACTTTTAACTCTTAGAAGCCTCAATTTCCAACGATGACCAAAAGTAAACAACCAGCATTCCTTTGATTGATGTTTATGAACACATTTTAAACACACTCTCACTTTTTAAAAAAATATATTTTATTGATTTTTTTACAGAGAAGAAGGGAGAGGGATAGAGAGTTAGAAACATCGATGAGAGAGAAACATCAATCAGCTGCCTCCTGCACACCCCCCACTGGGGATATGCCTGTAACCAGGTACATGCCCTTGACCGGAATCGAACCTGGGACCCTTTAGTCCCTAGGCCAACGCTCTATCCACTGAGCCAAATTGGTCAGGGCCACACTCTCACTTTTAAGAAATACATGTTCAACCAAGCACAAGGCTACCTCAACAGCTCCAAATCCACTTTACAGACTTTAGGCAATAAAAAACCCAAAGCAGATGACCTTAAGACTTGTTTAGCAATCAATGTTTCTGTATTACACATTATTTCAAAATATTTAGATATTCAATGACTTTAATTAAAATTCATTAATTTAAAAAAATAAAAAGGAAAGAGAAAATATTCACTAATTTATAAAGAAATAGTTGAAATAATTAAAGTTACTTGCTTAGGTTTTGTTTGTTTGTTTGTTTGTTTTCCCTTTTGGTAAGAATCACCTTCCAAAAATTTGTATTTTTAAAAA